AGAAAGCACAGATGTCATTCCTTTCGGACACAGACACTTTGTCAGTATGTTTCAACTTTACTGGAGAGGACACGCCTGTGAAAACAATGATGCATTTTTGGGCCAATGTTCTTGATGCAAAGACACGTGATCATTTGAAGATGACCACCCATACGCAGCTTCTGCCGAATGGAGGAGTAGTGACATATTCCTCTTCCTTGCCCATTCCTGCATCCGCCATTGCCAGAATTCTGTCAATTGCTGCCACGCGTCAGATTTTTGATACACTCAGTGATCCCAATGGAACCAGGGTCATTTTGAAGTGGCAATCCAAAGCAATCTGGGATGGTTTGTTGGTAGGAGATGTGAATGCACAGCTGATTGGATCTTTGCTTCAACTCACATGCTTTCCTGAACTCCTTGGTAGGGACATGCGCATGATTCACAAAGCCAAGCAATGCTGCAATGTTTCGATTGAACAGCTCCTTTCGGAAACACATGCGAACTTTGTGATGATCCAGCTTATGAAAGAGATGAGTGGAGGTGCAGGCACAAAGGACAATCAGAAGACCTATGTGAGAAATAGTCTTGCTGCCACTTTGCTTGAGCAAGGATTTCCTTTCAACTGGGTCAGTGAAGCAACGGAGAAACTTGTTGCGTTGGTTGGATTGAAGCAAATCACACAGGTCTCAAACTTGCCTCCGGGCAAACAACGTCTTGACAGCATCTTGCAGCTTTGTGAACAATGTGAACTTTCGCCACCACTTGCAGTCTCCAAGTCAGCACAGAAAGTTGCACAGGTAGGCATGAACAAAGCCAGAAAGCGTGTTGCAATCAATGTCAACCCTGCAGATTATCGGATTGAGCCTTCGTTCTTCCTTGCAGAAAATGATGAAAAGCTTCCGCAACTCCATGAAATCAGACACAAGAGCTGCGGGGTCATGCTCATGAGCTTTGATCAAGCCCTCCCATGGCTTCGAGAGCAGCAGATTATTTCTGCTGATGAGCTTGCTATGGTAATCCTAGGACACCATGAGAATCTTCAGACGACGCTCAAGACACAATGCCTTCATGTGCCATGCCAAGACTCAGATTCCAGGCCAGTCATCCTTAAAGCGACCCTGGTGCAACTTGGAGAGAAGGTGGTACGAACCCATGTCTCAGAAATGCCAATCATTGATGAACAATCATGCAGTACAGTGTCGATCACCTATTGGAAAGAGGATTGGTCAGTTGATGAATGGAAGCAGATTGTGGATCAGCCATTCTCTTATGCCCGTCAAATTCTTGCTGCGCAGGGGCTTTCCGATCTTTTGCAGTCCACATGGGGAAAATCCGTTCGCAAAGACAGGATGCCAACCACTAGTTATCATGCAACTAGTGTACAGTTCCATGCCACCATTGCTGGAGACCGAATCCTCGAAGCCTTGAATGCATCCGGATTTAATAAGTTGTGGTTGACCCCTAAGAACAATCAAGGTCGCCTTGACACATCCTGGAGAATTGTATGGGTAGAAGGTTCAATTGCCCATTTGACGAGCCTTGCATCAAAAACGTCTTGCTGTGCAGGTTTGGTGAAGAATCAAAAGTCGATGGGTCTTCGCTTCTCATCCAAAGACTTTGACCGGGCTTGGGCTGTGATTTTCCCTGGAAAGGAAGCACCTAAGGTTCAAGAGGTTCACCACATGTTCCAACTGCAGAGTTTGCCATATGGTACCACTGCGGCAATACTTGAGCAGTGGGCCAACAATATTGGTTGGACTTTCAAGGCAATCAAAGCGCTGGGTCCCAATTCCTGGCTCATTGGTAGTTGCGATATGCCACCACCAGGTCTTCAGCTGTTCAATAATCGTCCCATTCTCATCAAGCATTTGCCTCCGAAAGACACTGCAAATGGGAATCCGATCGTAGCAGGACCAATGCCACGTAAAGTTGATCGCAATGCCATGTCAAGTGCGTCAACGGACCAGACCAGCCCTCACTTTGATCCTTGGGCTGGATACAATGCTAACAAGATGCAGCCAGCACAACCGAAGGACCTCACAGGACCTACAGAAGCCAAGTTCCAAGAGCACGCAGCCAAGCTCAACTCCCAGGGTGAGCAGATCCAGAAAATTGAGAAGGCCCTCATGCAGCTTCAGAGTGACACCAAGCAAGAATTTCAAAATGTGCAGCAGCGAGAGCAGCAAACGCAGATGCAGATGCAAGCGGCCATCAATGCAGTGAAAACTGACTTGGAATCATCCTTTCAGCAAGCTATCAGTCAGCAGTCCTTGCAACTCAACAGCACTTTGGGTGAACTCAGGACCTTGTTGCAGGCCAAGCCAAAACGCACTCGTTCTGCAGATGGAGATGACGGTATGGAAGGTTGACTTGCCTTCCAGACAAACCAAATGAGCAGGGGATACACAAACCAGGGGGTTTGTTCTTTTTGTTGCCAAGCTGATGTCGTTTGGATACAGCACAATCTTTGTAATGAGCCACCATGCCAAGTCCAATCCCAACGACATGGAGGACTAATTGAAAAGTTATGCATACACTTTCGCCACCACCTGTTGGTAGAAGTAATTGCCATTTGGAATGTTATGTACAGATTGCCTACGTGCCATTCTTGTGCGACAGATCATCCAGTGATAGAACATTGGGGATCCTTGCCAATTCAAAGTGCCATTTTGGCCATGCATTTCCATCCGAAGCTCAGACAGGAAGCAGAAAATTGCCTTCTTTTCATTTTTCGGGTGCCCACAAGCCATCAGGGTCAGAACTTTGATCGCTTTCGAACAATGCGGGTAGAGGAAGCCAGCAACCCTGGCCCTAATGACCATTCTCGAAGAAAGAGCGCCATTTTGGCCATGCATTTCCATCTGAAGCTCAGACAGGAAGCAGAAAATTGCCTTCTTTTCATTTTTCGGGTGCCCAAATGCCATCAGGGTCGGAACTTTGATTGCTTTCGAACAATGCGGGTAGGGGAAGCCAGCAACCCTGGCCCTAATGACCATTCTCGAAGAAAGCGTAGTGTAACTGCCACTATTGCCATCCTTAATCCAACAGCCATTAGAAACAAACATGAGGAATTTCGGGTGTTGATGAAAACTCATGCAGTTGACACCTTTTGTTGTGCTGAAACAACCGCCACCAAAGACATCCAAAAAACCATGGCGGCTAAACTTAGATCCCTGCAACTTAAGTCTGTTTGGTCGGAACCTGTTGAACCCCAAAAGCAGAAAATTTGCGACCAACCTTCCTTGAGAGGCCGTGCAGGTGGAACATCCGTTCACTCAAAATGGCCTATACGTGCTGCGAAAAGCCAAGATCTCAAACCTAAAGCAGATGCTGACCGCCTGGTACATGCAGTGATACAGTGGGGAATGATGTATGTGCAAATTATTGTGATCTACGGTTATACGGGAGGTAATGCCTGGCACCGTCAAGCCACCAACACTTTGTTTGCCCATGCTATCCAAATGGCTAACACCATTAACCTCCCCACCATCTTTCTGGGAGACTTTAACATGGATGTCCACCAACTTGAAATGTTCCCAGCTTTGCATGCCAAAGGATTTCTTTCTCTTCAGATGATCCATGAAATGTATTATCAATCTCCAATGCCCCCTACGTGTAAGGGAGTGACAACACCCGATACTGCAATTGTGCATCCGATGCTTGTCCAAAGAATGCAGGGATTTACGGTTGATAACCAAGCCCTCTTTGATGCACATGCACCAGTGGTGATTTCCTTTCACATTCCGGGCCAAGAACTTTTCACAACCAGGCTTAAGACACCGAAATCCTGGACGGAACTTCCAATTGATAGTAGTGATCTCCAAGCATCAGCGCAAGTCATTTGCCAACACCCCGAGCCCACTAACCTTTTGCAGTGGGCACAGCTAGTTGAAGCCACCGTTGACCATGCCATTCAAGTAGAACATGCCAAAAATCCAACTTTGCAACCCTTGCCAAAATTGCCAAAAAGATTTAAAGGACGATGCACTGATCCAAAATTCATTCGAATTCCACTTGTCACTCCAGTGAAGCAGGCCAGACAAAGTGATTACAACATCAACTGCGAATCTGCCAGCTACCAGAGTAAGCATGTTGTCAAGCAGATTAGGAGACTTTCTTCATTACAAAAGCGTTTTTCTTTTTGTCAAAAACAATCATTCACCACTACTAAAACCATGCTGGAGTTGTATCAGGAACGCAATTTGCCACTGGAGATTCCACTCTAAATCCTTTCGAGAATGGGTGAGCGACATTCCTGAGCTCTATCCTTTGCCTTTCGACCTTCCTACGGTTGATTGGCTTTTGACAGCGCAGCAGTTTCTCGACCAAGAACTTCAAAGAATCGTGCATGAAGAACAGAAGCTGCGGAAAAAGAAGATGGAAATGAAACACCTCATTGACTGCGAAACCAATCATATGAAAAATGTTTTTGCGGCACTTAAAAGACATGAGTATAAGCCTTTCCACCATGTTAACAAGCACCATAAAGAACTTGCGGTGATCATCCATGTAGATGCCAATATCCACGAGTGTTTTGTCGAGCGTCCTGATCGCTACACCGCCTTGTTGCCTTTGCAAGTTCATGAACATGCTTGCAAGATCTTGCGAATTGAGGACCATTCACTCATTGTTGACATGCCGCCAACAGTTGACAGCCTGCCGGAAGAGGTAGAAATCTGCCAAACTGGAGACACTTTCCACCAGGAAGAGGTTTTTGATGCTCTCAATGCATATTGGATGCCCCTCTGGAATAGGACAAACCACGAAGATGATGTCAACTTTCATGACACTTTCCATTGTGACATGCTATCTTTTCCACACCTTGATGATAACTTTGAAGACAACCTCCAAGAATGGAAATTTGCCATCAAAAATGCCAAAGCCAACTCCGCCCCTGGTTCGGACGGGTTTTGCTTTAAGGAACTCAAAATGATACCCGACAATCTCTTGGAGATACTGGTGAAGATAATTTGTTCCATGGATTTTTTCCCCCCAACCATGATGTTGGCAAGAACTGTCCCTATTCCAAAAAAAGAAGTGTTGACACCGGAAAATTGCCGTCCCATTACGATTTTGGCCACCCTTTACAGACTCTGGGGAAAAGTTTGTGCTCGTAGGTGTCTGCAGCACTTTGCACAATTAATGCCCAGGTCCATAACCGGCATGCTGCCTGCAAGAGGTGCGCTAACTGCCACCTACATCATGCAAACACTTCTTGAAACTCAAAGGAAAACCGATGTGAACATCACTGGCCTCACACTTGACCTCCGGAAGTGTTTCAACCTTTTGAATAGATCAAAAGTACAATTGCTATTGCATGCACTTGGCATTCCAATGAGGCTAGTTCAAAAATGGGCCAATTCAATCCGTGGCATGACCAGGTTTTGGGATGTCGCCCAACAGACTAGCTCCCCAACCACCACAACAACTGGCTGCCCGGAAGGTGATAGCTGGAGTGTTCTTGCTATGCTTGCAGTTGCAGCCAATTGGGGGCATGTGTTGGAAGCCGCCTCACCTTATGCCAGCTCTACAGCCTATGCTGACAACTGGACATGGTGGTTGCCAGATCAACACCTCGATCCATGTACCATACGCACCACTGATGACTTTGTCTCATGGTTAGGTTTAGAAATAAGCTGGGATAAGACATGGTGCTGGACCACAGGATCCACTGGAGCTGCGCGCATGAGCCAACTTGTGCATCAGACCTTAAATGTTGAAGCACCCCGAGTTCAAGCCACTGCCACTGATCTTGGATGCCAGATGACATACCATGGCAATGCAAAGCTTGGTATCATCCATGACCGCCTGGAGCAAGCCAAGAAACGCCTAGAAGTTGTCAAGCTTAGTAACTGGGCTTTGCCAGTTAAGACACATGTAGTGCAAGCTTCAGTTTTACCACTTGCCTTGTATGGTATGGAATTGTTGGCAGTAGGTCAAAGAAATCTCACCAACCTCCGGACCTTAATCGCAGATGCGTTGGTCGGAGAAACTTTGCATTCGATGAGCTCCAGTATTTTTCTTCACTGTGTGGATAGCCGTGACATAGATCCATGCATTCGTGTTATCACTCAAGCCGCCAAACAAGCCAGACGCTTCTTGCGACAAGCAGATGCTGAGACGAAACAGGCCTTCCTTGACATCCTTTCACAGCCATCCACGAAAGTAGGACTGTCACAAGGACCTGCCAGTGCTTTCCGAGAATATCTCCAACGCTTGGGCCTCAAATGTTCAAATAGTGGTTTGATTCAGATGACCGCCTTAAAAACCTGTAACCTGGTTGAGGATAACTTAAGTGATATCTGTTATTTCTTGAGGCAAGCTTGGTCTGCCCAACTCTTCATGTTTCAAACCCAGCGGACTCAACTATATAACTTGCCACCTCTCAATCAATCTGAAATGGTTAGACTCTTGCGGAAGTATAGACCAAAACAGCGACTTCTTTGCCTGCGTGAACTTGCTAGTGGATACCAAACCCAAATGCAACAGTGCAAGTGGAATGAGTCAACTGGAATATGCACCTTTTGCGGAGCAGCTGAAGACACTAAGATGCATAGGTTTTTCCATTGCATGTCTTTTCAAGACGTTCGGGCTCCCTGGGGTGAATTTCTGGAACAGTTGGAGGAAGAGAATCCATTGCTTGTTGATTTGCCTGCAATCCACTTGCACCCTCACTATGAGTTTCATGATGCAATTGTTGATGCGATGCCGAAACCAGAAATCAATGCCACTATCTTGCAACGACTTGTTGAAGCAGGTATAAGTGATCCTGTTTTCTTCACTGATGGAAGCTGTAAATATCCTACTTCTCCTTGCACATGTTTTTCTGCTTTTTCGGTCATTGCAGACCTTACAGTAGATGACAGTCAACGAAGAGACCTTGCGGCTATTTTTAAAACTACTGGACAGATTCCTTGGACTCTGCAGAAAGTTACAGTAGGTCGCACTAGAGGACGACAGGCCATTCACAGAGCAGAACTTCAAGCTATCCTGGTTTTATTTGAGCAGCTTGTGCAATTTCAGGTTTACACAGATAGTGCTTCAGCCATTGACCTGATTGAGAAGTGTCGAAGAGCTACCCATTTAGAAGAGTTGTCGGATCATGATGATTTTGACCTGTTGCAGCTGTTTTTCCGCAGTATGTCACCTTTGAAGCGAGTCTTTAAAATTAAGGCGCATCAAAAGCTGAATGAAGTGCAGGACAACCTTCTTCTGTATCGTGCCTTAGGTAATCATGTAGCAGATCAAACAGCAGATTTTGCCTGTGACAATCTTTTTCCTGAGCTCGTCCAGGAAATGACAATGTTCCATGATGATTTGACCCACCAGCGAGACCAAGTCAAAACTTTCTTTGATATCAATCTACTTT